CAAAAACTGCCGAGATAGGCACACAGGCCGAAACGTGCGGTTCTTAAATTTCTACCTAGCAACCTTCACGTTCGCGATTCAAGAAGCACACCTAGAATCTCCTTTTCCTTCTATTTAAACTCAACTTACTTCTGCTAAATTTGAATATACTGCGCGCTCTACTACAATTTACATATTCTAGCATTGGCAATTCTAGGGGAAAGTAAAGGCTTGACAGGAAAGATAGCTTAAACTTAAATATAAACCCTACAAATTAAATACAACTGAATACAAAATTGCACTTCGCACATACGCTAGCACCGGAAATATGCAAATTCGGTAGGCACGTTGAAATTCCGGTCTGTAGGGTTGTTTAAAGTGAATGTGGCTTCTGAGAGTGATCAATATTCAGTAGTTATGGCTCTAAGACCTTATTTAAATGAAAGTGAAAAGTGGCGAATAATTGGTAGAATCAAGGTAGGTCAAACACATATGGCGGTGGCCCAAGATTTGAATATCCCTCGAAGTGTTATATCAAGAGTTTCGAGCCGCTTTTTAAGCACTGGATCTGTTGCTAGACAGCCTGGTCAAGGGCGACCAAGAGCAACAACTTTATCAGAAGATCATTTTCTGTCATTTTCGGCTCGAAGAAACTGCAATGTGACTACAGGAGATTTGGTTTTAGACATTTAGGCTACCACAATAACTCGAAATAACCGTTCTACTGCTGCACAAAGGCTTAACAAAGTTGAACCGTATGAGAAAATGGTTTGCGTCCCACTCACTCCAGCTTCCAGAGAGGCCCGTTTAAACTGCTACCGTCATCACATTCGATGGAGCCAACAAAACTGGGCCCCAGAACTGTTTATTGACAAGTCCAAATATAGTCTGAACAGTTATTCTAGACGTGTTTTGATCTGGAGAAAGGAAGGAACAAGCAACTTGCTTTCCCTTGTCCATCAAATATCCTGTTTCCGCGACCGCGATTTAATGGCCTGGGGAGGAAGCATGACAAACGGAAGCATCCAGATGCATATCTTTCAAGGAGGTTGTGTAACCACTCTGAGATATGTGGACACGGTATTGGGACCCCAGTTAAATTGTTAAGGGGTGCCTGTTGGCCCAGTTTTTACTAATGGATGAGAATGCTCGCCATCGTGCATATGTGGTGTCAGAATACTTGCAAAGAGAAGATATCGCTCGAATGGATTGGCCACCTTATTCACTGGACTTGAACCCGATTGAACATGTGTGGGATGCTTTACGGCGCCCAATTTTGGGGTGCCAAAATCCTCCCTAGAGCTGAAAAATGCAATTTTGAGTAGCATGCAATTCCACAAGACTTTTCATGCTACTCTAAAAGTGCGTCTTGATTGTGACGCACTTTTAGAGTAGCATTGTGACTAACGTCTTGATTGTAAATTCCACAATCAAGACGTGAGGTATGCATATATATCTGTTGGATTGTAAATTCCACAATCAAGACGTGAGGTATGCATATTTATCTGTTGGATTTGACCGTACACCATATTATAGAAAAAATGCTCCTACAAGAGGTGACTTAATTTTCCCGACATTTTCTAATTTCCATAAATCTGGTTTTAATTTCAATATTTTGCGAATAATCAATTGCCCAACATTGTAATTTATGTTAACTAATGCTTTTGTACAAATTTCTATTAATTATGTTAAGTATCAGTTACTTTTTATTTATGTCATTATACTTTAATTTTGATCAGAAGTGTACATTTATACCTCATGGCTTGAATTTTGACCCAGAAACAGAGCATAGAGAATTTAGACAAAAAATATGTGAGAATTTCACTTTACTCTTCAGTTACAAATAGAAAAGGAAGATAGTTTCATCGTTAATGTGTCTTATCCAGTGTCCAACGAAATGCAGAAATACTCTTCAAAATTTGCATGATTACAAAACAAAGGTGCTATAACTCATTTAAAGAACATTCTGTGTCTTGCAAAGAACTTTTAAAAATCCAAAATTGCCATTCGGTGGATAGAACTTATAGAATATTTCTTCTCAGAAAAAACAAACTGATAAGGATCAAAATTTCATTCTCTAAAAAATAAATCAAGGTATAGCCCAAGTTTAAAAGATTCAGTACTCCCTCTTTCCTTGAATAGAGAAAATTTTAAAATTTCCATCATAACATCAGTCAACATCAGTCTTGAGATACTAAGTCAAAGAATTTGAATGGAATCGTGTAATCCACTTATGTTCGTTGGTTCAATGCTTACATACACATTTATGGTGTTGTTCTAAGATATGGTTATCATGTCCTCATTCTTCTTGAATTGGATTCACATCTGTCTTAAATAGCATTTGTTTAGAACATAGAGAAAAGTAAGGGTGAAGCTAAATCAAATGTAATGTAAAAGTGTTTTCCTTTATTAATGGAATTATAAGTTCTAATATCCTAAATGTGGGTGATTTTAAAGGATAGTAATGTTTTCGTTCTTACCTGTACACATTCTGGAAAATACATAAAGAATATTAAACCGTTTTAAATGAAGATATCCAAACAGTTCACCATATTTTATTTACATACCTTTGGAAGCTTCCTATAGCAGTATAAAATAACATAAAATGTAAAGGAAATTCAATGGGGCCAAAAGGTTCTTTCATTGTATATGGATTTGTTATAGTACTATCTGCAATTTTTAACCCTTTGAGGGCGATATATAAAATAATTTAAACTGTGGTAACATTTTGTATAAACTATAACTATGGACCCTAAGGACACAAAATTGAGACTTAAAAAAAATCTAGAGCGAAATCCTAAATTTTTGAGGGCCTGTATATATTTTATACCGGTGCCCCTCTAAAACATTTTTTTTCTCAGGTAGCTGCCAATTGTAAATTTTTGTTTTTAAAATTAGTTTTGCGTTCTTTTGATGTGCATTTGTAGAGATGGGTACTTGAATATAGTTATGTAAGTATGAAGACAAAAAATGTTGGTAGAAATTTAAAATTTAAAAAATAAAATTTATGTTTTTATGCACTTTGATGATGCAACCCAGCTGAACATACTTATGTAAAATATGGGTAAAAAGCTTTTGAACTTGATTTAAATTCAATATTATTATTTTATAAAAAACATTTAGCAAATATAACACTGCATGCGTAAATCGTATCATGCTGTAACTGAACTAATATAATATTACAAGGAGACCCAAAAACTGAAAAATAAACCGGAAAATAAAAAAAAAAAATTGGAAGACGAAACACTACGACTCAGATGAAAAGTATGTTACATTTTTGAACTTATATTTTATGCTTTAGATAATATCTAAAAAAAAACACGGTTCATGCTATGATACCAAGAATCGGCCCCCCCTCCCATGCACACACACTTTAGATTATCGGGGACCGTAAGAGCTCCTTTCTTATTGTTTGTAAATATAGATTGTAATATATCTTTTTGTTCAGGAAGAAACACCATTAAACAATTTTATTATTTAATACACCTCAAGGCTCTTATTTCGATTTTAAAACCCTTTGGCTTCCTAGGGGCTCCTTTTCAACTTTTGGATAAATTCTAGTTTGCATCTAAAATGGGCCTTAGAAATAAATATTTTCCCTCCTTTCACCAACTGTGAAATTTATTAAAAAACAAAAAACCTATTTGTATCTTATCCCAGAGGGCAAATTTCTCTTGCATTCCCAAGTCTTTCATCTGAAATTAACAAAGACGATAAGAATAAAAGCATGCTTTCAAATCAGCAGTTTTTGTGATTACACTAAGAGATTGACCTTAAGTTCATTTTCATTTCCCATATTTTTAAGTGAGCTGTCTCTGTGTGATCTTATCACATTACACAAAGGGAAGAAGAATCAATCACTCCCGAATGACAAATCAGTTGCCAATCTTTTCATTTTCCTGGCATTATAGGATTTTGGAAAACAGGAAGCAAGGGGTGTCTTTTTGGGGGGGGGGTAACATGCCACATTTAACCCCTAAAAATGTGTAAAATTTTTACCCTAGGCGGCAATTTTGAAATCGATGAGTCTTTTTCTTGGGAAAGGGTGAAAGTCTGAAATTAAAATTTTAGCTAAACAGAGACGAAACTCGAGTGGAATAAAAAGAAACTAATATACTTGTATTATTCAGTCCTAGTTGTAGGGTCAGTAAACTCCCCACCCCTTCATGAACATAATATTGAACCCTAAACAACTTATAAATTAATGATAAAAATTATTACATCATAAACTGTTTTAATATAAAGAAATTCTGTCATGTCACAGAATGGAAAAGAAGACTGGTGCTGCTATCTATTGGCGTTACCCTCAGTATGAGCACCAGTATATATTATATACCAGTTTTAAAATCGTATATAAATAATCTTCTGTTAATTATCACTTCTAACTGAAATGAAGTAAATATATAAGATTCAGCATGTCTAAGTCATATATTTCCAGATCTTGAATTTATCAATCTTCAAACATGATATCTTGTAACGAGGTATATTCATTTCATAACTGAAAAATATTGAGCATTCATAGGGTGATGCTGCCATTTAGAATCGAAAGGAAACACTAGACTGACTAGACACTTATGACTATAGCTTTTGGTGGAGAAAAATTAGCATTTTTTTCGGAGGTTAAAAAATTGACAAACAACCTTCCTTCAAAGGGTTAAATGCACTATTTTTACAAAATTGATTCCTGATATTATGAGAAAAGAATGAAATTTTATTATTATTTTTTATATTGTATAATTTTAATAGAAAAAGAATACTCCACTTATTTTAATCAGTTTAATTTTATTTTAGTAAACAATAACAGTCCAAAAATATACACAGCACTTTTTGATCAATAATCCATACATATAAAGACAGAATGTAAAAAAAAAAAAAAAAAAAATTACCTGGAAATATGAATTACAGTACACTCTTGATAAACTGAGCCTTATATAAAAATGTTTGTTTATTATAGAATGATGAAAAAATTATTATCAGAATAAATCAAATATTCAACAGGAAATACAAAAAAGGAGTAGAAATGGCACTGGATAACAGTAATGATAGCAAAAGATGTCACACTATTTAGGAATTAATTTTATCTACAACACATAATTTAATTGTATGAGTATATAACCTAGAACATGTAGACACTGTTAAATCATCCATTAAAAATAAATTAAGTGTGCAGCTATTAATCTCTATTTTACATTGACACCTATCAAAGGACAAGAGTAATAATATCAAAAAACATTTTTTTAATAGTGATCTTATTTTGAATTTATAGAACCAAATAAACTTATGTTTCAAATCAAATTGCTTAAAAATACATGTGAACTGTTAATAGTATTTTTCTAATTATAATATTGGTTATTCCACTTTTTGGAGCTTTTTTTTAATTGCTATTGGATTAACCATGAGTTAGGGTTAACTGTGGACATCATCTCCTGTATTATTCCAGTTAATTATGAGTCTACTGTAGTTCATTTCAAGCAAATACTGAAAATTACATGAATACAAATGAAAAAAAAATTAAATGTGGCCAGCACATGATTATACATTTACACTGTCTTTTTCTCACTAGACAGGTATTTTGTTCATGCTTTTACTTTTTTAAGTTATACTGCTTCCTATTAAATTGAAGATAATAAATTGCTTCAAAAATGGCATTTCATAAAATTTATATTATTAAGTTAAAAATACATCAATATAATAAATTTATGTCTTTCACCCAATAAAGCATAAATAACTAAAGTATTGTTATACTGATACACTGCTTCATAAAACATGATTCATATTATAGAAACAGAGTGTGTATATTAGAAATAGTTAAGCACTCAGAAATTAATTTAAATGTGTGAGCAACATAATTTATGGCAAGGTTAAAATAGCTCAACTTACTTTTTTAATTAATAATATAAAAGACAGACTTTTACCTCTGCATATATTAAAAAAATATATATAATCTTGATATTCTGACATTATATAAAAATAGAATTTTATGCACGGTATATACATTTGAGAGATACACTTCATTACTAAGATGTTAAGATAATTACACACCTGATGCTAATTATAACAATCTCTCTTGTCCTAAATAAAAACATTATAATGAGAGGTCACTGTAATAAAAATGGATATAATATACTCCTCATGATTTAAACACCAGTCATTGCATTAAAATAGTCACTATAATGAATGGACGTTAAAGTGAATATCAGTTATAAAAATATATTTCTCCAGGTAGTTATATATATGACAGCTATGAGAACACTCATACTTCATTCGCCCACCAGTGGCCGAGCGGTAAAGTCGCTGAACGCTGGTAGTTCGGTCCGAGGTTCAAATCCCGCGAACGGGCTGGCTGCATGGGCATTTTCGTGGTTTTCCCCATGTGTAGCGTGTATACGAGCCAGTTCCCTTAGAAAGTCCTCCACGATGGCATCCCTCCCCTTAAGCAGATAGCCCTCGAGGCTTTGCCATAATCACATACACATACTTCATTCCACAATTACTATTTGAAGAAATACCATAAAACATTTGAAAATGCTGAATTATAAAAATAGACTTTTATGTATAACATATATGTTTGATACATGAACTGCATTACCACAGACACTGATAGAAGACAGATAGCAGTATACAACTATTAAAAATAACACTAGCTTCCAAACATGAGATTCCATAAAAAATGCCTTACATATCACATGAAATACATATTAATTACAAAATATGAAATGGAATGTGTAATGAAACATTGTGTAAGAATCATTAAATTCAACACTGATATGCAATGCTGCGAGATAAAGGTGGGCTTCCAACAATGAAATTATCAGATGCTGCAGTTTCATTTCCATCTACAGGAGAAACAACATTGGATGAGGATGTGGTAGAAGCTCCTGTTTCTAATGCCATTCCAGCCTCTCTTAAAACCTGCATGTTGATATGTAAAAAAAAGTAAATAAATATATATATAAAAACAGAAAATAAATACATATATAAAAACAGTAAATAAATAAAATGCATGACTAATTAAAAATGAATTCTACTTACAGTAACATGATGAAAACAAAAGTATAATATATTTTACTTTATTGACTGTAAGACAACTGCATAACTACTGCATAGTAACAGCAGTAATATTTTAAGAATAGTTACTTAAAAAATGAAACAAATATCCTTTTACTTTCTTTTGGAATGCTAGACAGCTCTATCAAATGCCGTGAATAAAGTGCTCTTTAGCACTTTAGAAATTGACTTTAGGCTTCAAACAACTTTTCTTTATATTTAGATAAAATAAATTTATCTAAATGTTAAAAAAATTTTTTTTTGAAGATGGACTTTCTGCCATAAAAATACAATAGAAAAGCTGTATTTTCTCAATGTCACTCAATTTTTGTTTCAATGGCTTAAATTGAAATGGAGCATTTTTAAGCATGCATCTTCAAACATTTTAAATAAAATACATTTATCTAAATGCAAAGAAAAATTGTTTGAAGATGCAAATAAACATTTAGATAAAATAAATTTATTTAAATGTAAAAGAAAAACTGTTAGAATGCAAGCTTAAAAATACTCCATCCTAATTTTAGCCAGTAAAACAAAAACTGAGTGACAATGAGAACATATAGCTTTTCTATTATTCTATCTTTATGGCAGCAACCAAATTTTTATACGTATATAGAAAGAAACTCTTAAATGTAAAACTATGTAAATAGCTAGAATGAGAACTGGTACACTAACGATCCAGGCTTGGTGGAACTGTATATAGTTGGTGCATACAGTTAGAGTCCATATTAGTAGTGCTTCCATATATTACAGCTTTATATATTAATATAAAGCTGTAATATATGGAAGCAAGAGTTTGGAATGAGAAGATGGCCAGAGATATCAATTTATAAAACTAATGGATTTTGAGAAAAAGCCTTATTACTAGAAGAAAATTTCACAATGATTGATAAAACCATTATAATTTGCCATGTGGATTAGTCTGACCAAACTCTTCAACTGGAGTAAGGGACATGCAATAGCATCTACACACAGAAGGTTGGTTCTGGATGGATCAAGATCACTAGTATAGAGGACAAAATAATCATGCATGAGGCATATACATTTTTCTATGGTGGTATTGTTTATATGGTAACTTCTGTATGCCTCAAAGAAGGGAATTTAGAATCCTAGTGCTTTTAACAACTAGATGTCAGTTACTTTCTTCACAGTGATGCCAACCCAAAGCAACATGGAAATCCAAAGCATGGTGATGCATGATGTTTGGCAATTACTGCCACTTCATTATAGATATTAATGATTATTATGTCCAGGTGTGTCCTTGGCCAACAGCACAAGCCCAGCCTTGCTATCTAGTGACATACTTTCCCTGCTGCAGGAATTAAGGTGCGAGGAGCTATAACATTAGATGATCTACTCTAATAATGCTACATGAAACATCAATGGCCCAGTAGTATATGGATGAAGTACTACAGCTCCCATTTTTGTCCAGGATCCAGGCGCAATATTACAACAGGATAAAGGTCAGCTAGAAGCTATCTGTGTTACTCAGATCTGCCTCTGTCATATCCACTCAATTCCATCACATGACCATCGACATATCTTTTACCAAGCATGTAGATGACCAGTCGAAACTCCAAGAGCTGACATGATATTGTATCTAGAATCTGCAACACACCACCTAAGTCATCTTCACCTAGATGACATCAGACATTTGTTCAGTTTTATACTAGACCAAATTACAGCATGCATTGCAACACATGGAAGTGTGATGCACTACGGAATATGACTGGAAACATGTATTACAGATGCTTCTGCAACTGCTTTAATAATATTTAATTAGTTAATAGTATTTAATTAGCTTTAATAGTATTTAATTAGTTATTTAATTAGACTAATTAGGACAACGTAGGGATAACAAAAAGGAAATTTAATTTTCTGTTAAAATAACATATAAAACAACTAAAGATTTAAAAAGGTTATTCTAAATTAAAATTTTGTAATTTTTCAAATCTCCTTTTATTTACAGGCTCAAACTTTCAAATTGGTAATTAAAATTTTTCTAACAAAAGTGAAATATCCCTCCCTTGAAAAAAAAAAAAATGACAAAAGAAAATTCTATATTAAAAACAGTAACAATCAAATGAGGACACTTTGAGGGAAATTCAAATTTTTAAAATAAAAAAGTTAAAAATGAAGACACGCATCAAATGACAACACAATAATTTAAAAAATGATTGTGACAAAATTATAAAAAAAAATTGGATTATCTGATATTTCAGTTATTGTCACCCCATTATCCTATTTCAGCTGAGCATAAAGTGTTCATAAAATGAGCCTTGATTTTTATTCCTAACAGGAAGTCAGAAAAATAAGCAAAGTAGCCAAGAGAAATTACATAATATTATTTTATGTTCACACACATTTTGCTTTGACAAAGAAGCAAAGATTGCAGATCTGAATCAAAACCCTATTACCCTTTCAGGCTTGTGATTGTAGCGAAATGTGGAATGAGAAAAACAAATGTTTTAACGAATTTATTTCGGAAACTTTTAAATTACTGTGCATTAAACACATATGTTAAAAATATTCAGGAAAATAAATATTCAGGTTTAACTGAAAAATTTAAAGGATTCAAATACAGTCGATTCAGGTTAATCGGACCACAATGGGAAGCAATCGTTTTGGTCCTAATAACTTGGCTGGTCTGATTACACAAACATGGCCTATGTTGTAAGACGGGACGTGCTATATGCAGCAAACAGTAAATGTACATGTAAATCATGTACTAAAATGTAATTTTGAACTTTATGGTGCAGTACACACACATGGCGAACATACATGTATGAACAAGAACTACAGTCGAACTTTTTTTCATTGAGAAAATTAATTTAGAAACAAATTCTAAGAAACAATCTCCTTTGATACTCAACATGCAAAGCACAATAAAAACAATCTTATCAAGTTCCAGTCAACATTCAAAGAACTTATCCAATGTGATCTGACGCATTCTCTTGATGGACTGCATGTGAACAAAATCGCTACAAATATCTAACGCAGCAATGGGACAGCCTTCATTTCCCTCCTGCATGAAATACTGACGCAAAGTTTCACTGCATTTCCTCACAGTCTGTGTTGTCACTTGCACCAACTTATTAGCAGCATCATCATCATCACTTTCTTGGTCTTCCAGTGCTGTCGTGTGTTTTGCTACAACTCGAGCAACAACTGCAGTATCGTAATCTTCATTTTCATCGTAGCATTGAAGCTCATTGTCAATGGATAAAAATTCTTCGCAATTTTGTACCTGTTGAAGTTCCACATATCTAAATCATCATTTTCACTTTCAATGAGCATGCCCACATCCATCTTCAAAAGCAAAAAGCCTCAGTGAGAAAAACAGTTCTGAATTGTCTCACTGCTCCCTTTTCGCCAGCTGTCGGCCACAAATGTAACTGCTTGTAAGATGCTTGACCTTTGCACTGACTTCGCTGGCTTTTGATGATGAGGTCAGCAAACTATTGCTTCAAGGATGCTTTAAGGATGTAATTAACCAACTTTGCACGATAAAGGGTCTTCAAATTTTTTATGATGCCCATGTCCCATTAGCTGGATCCAAAGCTGTGTGGCCCTGGGAGGTAGAAATTCCAGTTGGACGTTCATCAAGCAATCTAATGAGGATGTGCAAGTCAAGAAGAAGCAGCACTTTTTTCGACTGGCATTGTAGTTCTCTGTTTCCAATCCTTCAGCCATTCCTTAAAAAGTTCAGACGTTATCCATGCATTTCTGTTCACACAATACACAACTTGGTAAACTCTCCATCCTAAGTCCTTTAAAGCAGCAAGGCTTAGTGCTTTTTCCTATAACCAACAGCTTCCTCTTGTCCGTTCCTGACATATTTGAGCAGCACAAAACAGTTACGTGATCCATCGCTTTTTTGGAGCCAGACAGTGCAACATGTTTGTAATTTAACGAGCCGTTCGGTGTAGCACGATAAAACAGCCCAGTCTCATCAACACTGTAGATGTCATCTGCTGAAAAATTTTCAAGAAGCCTGGGCAGTTTTGCTGATTTCCATTCTTCAACATTTGCACTATCAGCACTTTCTTTCTCGCCATGGGCTTTCTTCAATTTTATGTCGTGTCTAGATTTCCGTCGAGACAACCAATTGTCCATACCTTTAAAGTCATCATGGCCCAGCTTTTTAGCGAGTTCTTCTGCTTTGCATTTTAATATTGGGCTTCTTATTCGCACAGGTCGTCCACTAACAATGGCAAACCATTCATTAAGAGCCTCATTGACATCTGGGTCCTTACCTTCATGCTTTCGTTTTTTGGAAGTTCCTTCAAATCCTTCTCGCAGCTCATTCTCTTGTTTTATCAAGCGCGAAATTGTACTCTTTGCCAATCTGGTTATTTTCACCAACCGACACTGACTAGTGTTTCATGGTTGTTGCTTGATCATATCCAGGAAACCAATTTTTTCAGCTAAAGTCAAGTCCCATCATGGCATTTTGGCAGGGGTGACAAGACACGTGTACAGTTCACTGACTAAAATGGTCTGAAGAAAACTTAAATGTTTCGGGTTCAAGATGTTGAAGTCAAGAGGGAGATAAAATGCTCGCCATTCAAAGCTTTGGCACTAAAATCATCCCAAAAAAGGTGATGAAAAGATAGCTTTCTCATGTTTGACAGGCGGGAATTCCTTTTAGGTGGAGCCAGACACTCTATTGTTCATTTCCTTGAAACTCGGAGGCGCAGGTCAAAGAAAATGGTGCGCGTGTTCACCTCCCACCGGTTTTGCTTTTGTCATGCAATTTAAGGATTTCCCAACCTTTGATAAAGCATTTTCCTGGGGAGCCGCAACTACACATCCTCCCATATATTGCAGACCACCTATACATCCGCTGTACGTGGCCGACTTGC